GAGCGTGCAGGTGGGGGAGGACTGTGGTTGCCCCTTAGCCTGCGGTTGCGTGTTTGTAAGTCTACAGCCAGCACACCGCACCTAGCGGAAGTGAACTGAAACGTGCATGTTCACAAACCCACAAACCAACACTCAAACACACGCCGGTGAAAACATAACCTCCGCCAAGCCTCTGGCGGAGGTAATGACTCGTTCTGTCACATCATAAATATGTACTAGAATGTTCAACGACACTGAAATAGGAAGAGAACGGAAACATGTAACACAACAATAACACAACTCCACAGTCCCTGTTTGCAGTACTGAGTACTGTATACACCATATTTTTCGTGTACAGATAGTTTCGCGAATTCAGACTTGACGGACAATTTTGTGAGTGGTTAATTTCGCGGTCGGTGAATTATGAATTGTTCGGTATTATTCGGTATGAATTATTTGCTTGTTGTTATTTTCGCGGTAGCGGGGCGCGTTCGCGAAATTCGCGAAAATTAAACCACCGCGAAGTATACAGCATATACAGTATATCAATGTTGTTTGGTTTATGTGGAGTTGTCAAAGATTTCACACTGAAGAAAGCCTGCAAGATTTGTTGAACTTTGACAATCTTTGTTTAAAAAAGCCCCGTCACATGGTGATATAGCAATGCATGTATCTTATTTGTGGCTGTATCACGAACGTGCGTGTAGCATACATAGGTCCATTGTTGTAGAGTTAGCTTATGTTTTATTTTGCTTTATTGTTTGCTGGTCATATCGTCTTATGTGATAAATTTATGATTTCTTGCAGATACACGTATGTTTTTGAGCATGGTGCTACAGGTCACTACACTGCCCAGCGTGATGTCGTGCCTTCTACTGTGACCACATATGCAGACCAGTAAGTCGTACATTATACTGCTCTAGCTGCCAGGCATATACATAACAAATAACATATACCAGTACACAATATAAATATACATACCAGGGCCGCAGCCTGCGGGTGGGGGGCATCTGCCCCCTAGATTTTGGAGGATTGTTATAGTCGGAATGATTAAGGCTGTACATGTACTCAAAAGTGCCTCAAATAATCTCCTGCGATTTACATTTCCACAATTTTCTGTAGGGTGTAGTATAAACCCTCGCGTATACATGTATAGCAAAGTGGAATTAGGTGCGCGTAGTAATATCACTCGCGAGTACCCAGAAGCCTTTCTAAGGGATGTGACGTCAGGAGTTGAGGAATAAAAGTGTTCTTGTAAACAAGTGAGTTTCTGTCCTCCCCGCTCGTAAATACTGGTCCTACGCTTTGGATCCACGTATTAACACCCCAGACCCCCCACCTATTTCTCACCCCCTCCTTGAAATCCTGGATTCGTCAATGCCCCCCCCCTAGGCATTTGCTTAGCCTACGGCCCATACATATACACATTTACAAAATATATACACAATTAAATACAGTTTGGAGCAATGAGAACTGGTATTGATAAATTTTTAGGTCATGTACTCGCTAGTCGCGCTAGTGAGCAGGCACAATGTATTTCCAACTGCGTGCAACCTGTTCACCCCTCCACTTGGAAATACATAATTGTGCCTGCTCACTAGCGCGACTAGCGAAAAATGGTGGTTACAATTGTTGGTAAATAACCTTCGTCGACGAGTAATATAGCAAGTACAACATTTAACCGTTAGTTTGCAGTTTAATTTTAGTGTTTGCAATAACTTAAGACATTTGTGCGACAGAGAATGTGCTTTATTTGGCGTACCGAAGAAGTTATTAAGCGCAAAAAGTTGTCTTTGCCAACTACCTGGAAATTGCCATAGTATGTTCTATAGCCCTGCGGCGGAGCGGAGGGCTATAGTTCTAGAGCTAGCCAGGAAGTAGACTGGTCCCCAGCGCTAAACTCGCACCGCCTGTCAGAAACAGTGGGGCCGCGAACCCATCTAACCAAAACGTGCAAGGCTACGGTCAGCCATCAGGCGTGATTATTGTGTATGTTCGTATAATATGATTCTGCGTATATATTACTTTATTATATTATCGTTATACATAGAGCGTTTTTACAGCATTTTATTTAAAAGCAGCAGCAGGAGTTTTTTGGCGTTTGCTCATGGGTGCCACTGGCACTGGCACTGTGGTAAGTGCTGGGTGAACTTTGTCGTTACGGTCGGTCGTTGTCGCTGCAGTGTGGCGCTGCGCCAGTCGCCGCGACTTTGTCGTTTGTCGTTACGGTCGGTCGTTGTCGCTGCAGTGTGGCTGCGCCAGTCGCTGCGACTTTGTCGTTTGTCGTTACGGTCGGTCACTGTTGCTGCAGTGTGTCTTGGCCTTAACTGATCGACAATTTGTCACGTATATGGCAATTACACAAATAACTTAATCAACCCTTCCATGATTTGTTCCTGGTTAACTAAATATAACTGTTGGCCGTACAATAAATTAAAGCTAAAAATTTCAGCCCATATTTTTTTAGCTCAGCTGATGAAGTCGGATGCAGCTTGTAGAATCGTATGATTGCCCATCCGTCCGTCCGTCCGTCCGTCAACAGTTGGGCTCAAATCTTAACCGCTCGACGTACGGTCTTGATATTCGGGACGTCGGGGGGATCGCGAAAAGGACTCGGGATGTCGAATTTGGGGGTCAATGGTCAAAGGTCAAGATGTGTCAATGGAGTGGGAATATTTTCCCCTTAAAGGGATCGTTTACTCTAGGTTCTAGGGTTATTTTCAGTTAATTTAGGTTAAAATTACGCTACATAAAACGTTTCATGGTTCAATCACCATTAGAAATATTATTAAAAAATGTTTTAAAACTAACGACTACAGTTTGATTACAACGACGGTGGCGCCACTCAAAGCGCATGATCTGATAAGTTGCGCAAAACCACTTTTCAGCCAAGGGCTACGACCGAGGGTGTTTCTTATTTATTAATTTAAAAGCAAAAGGATTGTAATATCTTATAAACGACATAGTTTCAGTTATAATTTGGATAAATTTTCCCTAAAATGAATATCGTTTGGTTAAATAGCATTTAGGTATAAATATAATTGCACTTTTGTGATTAGCCCTCAGTCTGTAACGTGCAAAATAAATTGTCAAATACGCAACTTTTTCGGGGTGGCAGCACGGTCGCGGGTGCCATGGCGCCATTCAAATTTCGTAGCGTTGATGTGTAATTAATTATAACAATTAAATTAGGTATCTGGTAACAAATACGTGTGGGTATAGACGATTTGTTATACAGTAAGTACAGTTGTATGCAGTAAAATCCTAGAGGCTACTACTGTCCCTTTTTAAGGTATAGGAGGAAATACGGAATTGCGGCACAAATCTCAATAGCTCTACCTACGATGGGGAGTAAATTCATCACCAGCGCGAAATTGGAGGTCACAGGTCAAAGGGCAGTGGGGGAAAGGTCAGATATCAGACATTTTCTGAGGACATGGTCTAACGGACCGAGTGCTAAACTATTTTGTTTCAGCGCTGACCTACCGTTTTTATCCCTTTATTGAAAGGACCATGAAATCTATTTTCCGCTGACATGCGAAGAGTAAGTGTCTGATAACCTTTTGACCGTCAAGAGGGTTAAACATGGATTTGTTGACTGAACTGCTTTTGCTATTAGAGCCCCCTCCACCCGCCCCTCTCCCCCTCCACCACCACTACTCTCGCGCTCGACGCATATCCATGATAACATGTTAATATAGCGAAGTCATTAAAGTTACACAGCTGTATCTTTATTACTGTACTACCAGTAGGTATAGCAAAGCCTATCATAGATTTTAGATCTGTATTAGTAGTATCCTAGATATACGTTCTGAGCGCGAATGCGGTGGAAGGAGGGCGCACTTGATTCGGTTGCCAGTGAGTTTATTAGAAGAAAACCTGGCTACAATACACGTCAGTTGAGCGCTGTCGCTCTGCGGCACTTGTTGCATATTTATGAGAACATACTATGAGTTAATTGTGTTTTATGGATGTAAATTTGGTGTGAAATAGCCAGCTAATGCGTTTTTGGAGAGCTCTAGATAATTACTACTCCACACAGAGCTAATGGTGCTGAATGGCTCATCATTGCCTGCAGAAGAGGTTGAACCCGGCATTAATACACTGGCTGTGTGAACTACTAACCAGTATGTGATGTTCTACGTAGTTTGCCGATGTTGTATTAACTTGTTTGCCTATAGTTCCACCTTTGCATTTGCATTACAGGTCGGAGCTTTTCGCCTATCGCATTTGGGAAGAGTTCTTCTCCGTTCTTCGTTTCCCGGTCGACTTCATCGTCATCTTCTTCATCGAGCTGATCAAGTTTCTATGTCGACACATCTTCCAGCGGCTGCTGGTCGGCGTCGTCACGGTGCTGTGCGACTACGCATTCAAGCCACTGCTCGCCGGCCTGTTTAACGGGCTGCTGCAGCCCACACTTGTGCTCGCTTGGAACGTCGTCGTCTCTCTCAGGCGCGTCTTCGAGCCGCTCACCGACATCTTGCACAGTTTGGTCGCGCAGGTGGTGCTGCTGCTCAGGGCCGTCCGTCTCATAGAGTGGAATTCTTGTCCGGACCCGGGGAAGCATCGTGTGGTGGTCAGCGTCTGACGCGTTGTTCGAATGTTCGCGAGTCGATCGAAAATCTCATTTTGCTTGTCGTAGTGTAATGCGTTTCTGGGTTGTAGCTTGCGCAGGGCTTATCATTTCTGTAGTTATTTATTAGCTGTTCTCGTGGAGCTTGTGGAATGGCCCTAGCGTCTATCCGTCCGCAGTGGAAGCACAAATTCAAATGGCCTTATTGACGGTGTACTTATTTTGTGTGTAGTAAAAGATATTGTCAGGGCAGAACTCAAAGGCGGGGGTTAAAGGTCTGTGGACCTATGTGTGAATACTCCGTCAAACTGGCATTGTGCACCTATGCAACGATGAGAAAAATCTATAAAGATGCGCCGGTGGTTATCACATTGTCAGATAGAAAAGCCGTCCCAATGTGTGAAAGTGGAGGTCATGGGTTCGAAGTTAACAGTTTTCGTGATTTTGACGCTATGAACTGACAAATGATGACTTAGTATTATACATTATACCCTAAGGAGTATGAAACGTTTAGTTCTCTACAGTTTACTACAATGGTTAGTGAAATGTTCAATGCAATCTATAAATAATCCATATAGAGCTATCTTATTAGAACTGGAGGTCAATCAGGGCAAATGGACGGTTTATAGGTTTCTGCTGACAAGTTGTAATTCAACTGCTAGAAATCTATTTATTCTTCTACTTTATTGAGATTTTCCTCCGACTATCTCAGACTCGAATACCTAATGCGCATAGTTTATATTAAAACGAGGTCCCCAAACCAATGTTATTGTGTATTCTGCGCCTTGTATTTTGTGAAGTTTATAATTGATGTCATATGAATACAATTTTAGGGGTATGCAACCACCAAGACCAAGAACTAAACTTGTTTTCTATTAAGAGATTACCATTACATGTATTTGTTGACTTGACCAATTGATTTTATTACTTCTACTGGTTTAGATTTGCTGCATAGTTATAATAGCTATAGCTTTAAAGGCATAATAGGCCCATCGATTATGCAATTTTAACGAATGCTAGAGTAACTGGCACCTTGTGTAGTTAATAAGTACATTACCTTATAGCCAAACGCGTATTAGTTTGTCCAATATCACTGCTGGTTACTAAGAAATGTCTAATTGAAATCCGCAGTCCACGAAATCAGTTGACCGACTTGTTTACAGTTTCGAAACCGCATAATTCGAAACGGGTGTGATACCGATTTATAGTCCACCGGACATTTTCGCACGCATGCAAAAACGCACGCACGCATGCATTTTCGCTCGGCCGTACGCAATGCTAGCGATAGTACAGTACCGTAACTGTATATACGTAACAGTAGCTCTGATTGTAATGAACGTGGAATCCACGTACGAATCACGGACGCTCGTGATAATGAAGTAGGCCGTGTTGGGGGCCAACGCTATGGGAGGATCGCCGACTAACCACGGCCACAGACTAAACATGGAAAGCAGACGGCACTACGCGTATTTACGTATATTGGTCATTATAATTGAAGTTCATGCACCCGTTGCACCCGTTCATTAGCACCCACGATTATTTACTTGTGCCTCAATACCGAGAATACACCCAGAGATACATTCTACTAGCTCATTAGTCGTATATAAGCATCCCGGGACAAACAATTCTCTGCTAAACACCCGTAGCAACATGTGACGTTGCCTAACCGAATTCGAGGCTTATTTGGTTGGCAACCAATTTAGCGTTGGCGCCAGATTACCAGATTTACGGATTTCAATTAGACATTTCTTAGTAATTAGCAGTGATATTGGACAAACTAATACGCGTTTGACTATAAGGTAATGTACTTATTAACTACAGAAGGTGCCAGTTACTGTAGCATTCGTCAACTTTGTATAATCAATGGGCCTATTATGCCTTTAATGAAAAAGTAGGTATGTAATGGTTGTTAGTGAACTTTTTAGCTATAGATTTTATTTTAAAATGTTTAGACTTTACTTGTTTTACAAATGTTTGAATCTCAAAATGATTCTCAGTTGGCATTATGTGCTGCCTCATGATGGATGTTGTTACTTGTTTTTGTAAATGGGAAGTGCAATATTGTTTAAATCTTTGACATACGTACCATAACCATTGCATTTTGTATGCAAGAGCGTTGCCAAAATTACTTTAATACTTATAGAATAACTCAGGTAGGAGCTGGTATGGTTCATTCTTTCAACCATGTATTTTGAATATTCTAGATGCAGAAAAAATATAAAAATCTACTTTGGCTAGATCGAGTCTAGTGTGTTATATGTACAACAACCGAATTTTGTACATTCATACTGAAATAAACTGGTTTTCTCCGTACCAATTACAGGACCCTGTGAATAGTATTAATAACGAACTAGTATATTACGTGTAGCTCATTCTAGTTAAGATTGCCCATAGTAAACATTGAACACATGCTTATGTCAACTTTGACAGAAATTGTTTTCGTGTCCGATACCACACACAACAAAAGTGGAACAGTGTACATGTTCTGTGCCGCACGTCTTTAATTTTTACACATTTTCAGCATACATATAAAGAGCTTATGATTAACGGTAAGACTTCTGGTAGCGAGCGCGTGGTCCGGGGCCACCAAACTTCTTGGGTTCGCTACGACGAGGATCTGCTACCAGCAGTGACTTGTCGTACTGGATGAGAATATCCTTGATCTCCTTCTTTGATGCTTCATCCACGTCTACAACAGAAGATTGCACCATCACACTATGCATTTCATGTATACATTTATTAGTTCATAAATAATCATAGAATCCCACATCTTCTTTAAAAAGTGAATGATATATCAGCGAATGCATAACACACAGCTAACCACAGCGTGGTGGCGTGTCTATTTTGAAATGCTACTTACATTTCTGGTAGTAGGCGACCAGAGCCTTGGACAAGGCCTGTCGCACAGCATATATCTGTGCAACGTGTCCACCTCCTTTCACACGTATTCTAATGTCAACCTCAGAGAACCGCTCCTTGCCCAGGAGAAGGATTGGCTCTTGAAGCTGAAATCCAGAACCATATTTATTAGGGATAAATAGATTACACATTTCAGGAGTAAAATGAACAAAACACTTTAACACTAAACATAGTCCAAAAATTCACCTGAAACAGTTTGTGTCAGTTATAAAGTACTATTCATGGTAATGAGACGTGACCCCCTGTAACTCCTGTGGTGCACGTCGATAATGATCATATGTGGAACATCGAACTCCTACATGAAAGTAATTTTAGCTGCCACTTCTGAAGAAACGTTTTTCTTATTAATTTCAACTTATGCACAAGAAGATAAATCGCCTGTAAACAAGGTTGGTGGTCATTGTGACAACAATCCTAATTATCTACAGGTACCATACATATTCAGCAGTATGAACAAACCCTATGGTTACAATGTGCATCAGAATTACGCAATCACCACAATATTTCTGCTGCTTTTACTAGTGTTGTCAATCGGTTGTAATTTCGTAATCGATCATCGGTTGGACCCAAGTAACCGATGATCGGTTACAATCGGTTACTCGGGGTGTTGAATGCCTGCGTGTGCGTAACGTCGTGTGCATGTACGTGTGTGCATGTATGTGCTTGTTTAGCCCTGTTTACTGTTTGTTTTGCACTGTTTACTACTGTGTGTATAATACATGTACTGATTCTCATCACTTTTCCAAGTTTTCTTGTTCAAATTAAAAAAAAAAAAAAATAAATTTTTTTTTCCCGATGAAATCGATTATTGATTTTGATAACCAAGCGCTTGGTTCGAGCCACTGTTCAACCGATGATCGAGTATAATCGATGATCGTGACATCACTAAGCGCTTGGTTCGAGCCACTGTTCAACCGATGATCGAGTATAATCGATGATCGTGACATCACTAGCTTTTACCATCAATAATTTGACAGCATTCTATCTCGTTACTTGCCTTGTATCGAAGAGTGATCGGCTCAATATATTCCAGTGGGCGGCCATTCACCTTTACCAATCCCTTTCCTCGTTTGCAGTGGGCAACTGCTGTAGACGTTTTCTACAAAACACAACGTGACCAAAATTAACCATTATAAATGATTATCATATATGTAATACTAATAATATGCCTGTCTATTTTGATATAGTTTACACGTTGTTTATCCACTTTAGTTTAACATTTTCCAGGCAGAGGCTTGTTGACAAAGCCAGATCCGATCCCAAACTTAATCCAAACATACATCATATGTACAGGGTAGCTCCAAGAAACGGTATTGCTAGGGTTAGAATACCGTTTCAAACCTTGGCTGCAGCTAAACACGTAGTTGCCTTATTTGCCAAGTATCGCCAAAGAACACTACTCATGTGATATACCAAATGAATCAGTATACGTCCACCTTCTTGTAACCATCAGTGCGCTACGATGCGCTGGGTACTTACGGGGTTACAGCAACTTTTTAAGATGAATGCAACAAAATTTATGAATTCACCGCCATGTTTGCTATCATTCCGACTGTGACTAAAATCCGTAATGGATCGATCAAAGGAAATTAAACAATCTGCGGTCCTCGTGTAACCCACCCCTACATCCGAGAACATGTCATCTAAGGTTTTTACAAATGGCCCAGACATTTGTGAACATCTTTTCACTTGCTTTGGTGTGTAATTGCTGTGAGAGCCATCGTGCAGCTATTGTACTATTTCTGTAGTATTTTCTAGCGAGTCTTTTCCGTTTCGGGTTTTCCGTACCTCGCTAAACATGGCGGGTAAAGCTGATTGGAAAGTTGATATGCTGTGAGAATTAGCAGATTATACCGTGAATTAAGAGATACATTCTAGTTTAGAAGCAGGACAACTGTGAGTTAACGTTCATATTTCAAACAAGGCAAGTCAAAGGTGGTAATAGAATAGTTTTATTTGAGATATACAGAGTTATTCATCTCGATCTGCAGAGGCGATAGGTTTTTTGTATGGAAGGGTGTCAGGCTGTATAGACAATCCGTCGCACAGCCTGGTCGGGCTAATGTACAGGGATGCTAAACTAAGGACGTGGATATTCGTCCGAGCATCGGACACCTGTTCGTATGCGCTATTCGTCCGAGCAGTTGCTGTGCATGCGCTGTTCATGTTGTTTTACATAAATGTAATATAATGCTAGTCTAGGGAGTCGCCTACTCTCCAACCTAACTCTAAACCTACAACTAATTATTTAACTCTAACCTAACTCTAATACTAACCACAATCTAAACCTACCACTAATTATTTAACTCTAACCTAACTCTAATACTAACCACAATCTAAACCTACCACTAATTATTAACCGACTCAGTTTGCTTATATATGGGGCGCCAAGTGTCGCATGAAATCAAGTCTACAAAGTGATTTCGTTACGAAATCAAGTCTACAAAGTAATTTCGTTACGAAATCAAGTCTACAAAGTCGTTTCTTGGACTACATATAGCCTCATAGGTTTTTGTAATGAAGCGTGTCAGGCTGTATAGACAATAAGTCGCACAGCCACGTCGGGCTAACTATAGCCCTAATTTAGGGCCTAAAGTATATTTACATCATGTAGGTAGCTCTAGTAGTAGTACTGCTATAGCCCGAGTACAGTTGCCGCAAGCCTGCGGTTGAGGCCCCTCCCTGGTAAAATCCGTACACGCGCCCTGTGGGAAGAGTAATAACTGAGTATGTTTAAGTAAGATATATATATCAGTCATTTGAAATTCAAGTTGAAGTTCAAGTTTTTTATAGTAAATGTATAAACGGAAAGCATATAAATTAGTACATGTAATGATTTTAAATTTTCTTTTGTAATAAAAGTGTGTTCAATCCATATCGCAGTTTGATTTCACCGGGTACTATATTTTGTCGCTCTGATGGCACAGTTAATTTCAAGCAAGTTGATGGTTTTTGTGGCTTTGTGGATTTTGCCTTGTACTGGAATTGTCTTCTTTATTGCTATGAACAAGACTTGAAGTACAAAAATTTCGCCTCATATGCCTCAAAAATGCATAAAAAGGAGTTTGATTTTTAAAAATTTCTGGGGGGGAGGCCCCCCGACCCCACGGTTCCTTCGCCCCTGCGGTCCTCGCGCACGAAGCGGCGGCAGAAGCCGCGCTTCAGTTGCCCGCTTAACAAATCTCAAAGTGCCCTTTCCCCCTGCCACCCCCCCCTAGACAAAATCCTGCATCGCCTCCGCCCTGGAACTCTGGTAAATTTTTACAAAAGAGTAGATTGAAGTATTTTGGATCAAAACATGATTTGTCTTTATAACAATCACATTTAATTACATGATAATTATAATTAATTATGAGTAATTAGGGATTTGGACAAAGATTTGCCACAAGCATCACACAAATTCACAGGACAACAAGACAACTTTCGAATCATCAGATTTCCATAAAATTTCACCAAAATCAAGTTAAGATTAAAGAAATGATGCACATGCTTTTATAGGGGATGCAAAATTTGCAATCTGTACTAAACAGGCCTCAGATGAGTCTAACTTTGAAGTAGCTCGTACGATCTTCAAACGTAGCAGCATTGTCGATTTTTTTTTAAAGATGGTTGACCGAGTCCTCAATGATGGCATATAGATGTTGGCGTGGGTGGGGAAAAAACCATAGAACTAATTACAACCTCCCCTTTTATTAGGGGAGCCCGTCTGTCCTCGTAGTTGCTGGCGCAAGCACACTGTCACTTTTCAACGCGCACTGCGCACTACATTGATATTACACTAGCCGACCAGGCCTGTGCGACGGATTGTCTATACGCCTGCACCCTTCCATACAAAAAACTATCACTCTGGCAGATCTAAGATGAAATAACGCTGTATATCTCAATAAAACTATTCCATTACCACCTTTGACTTGCCTTGTTTAAAATATGAACGTTAACTCACAGTTTGTCCTGCTTCTAAACTAAGAATGTATCTCTTAATTCACGTATAATCTGCTAATTCTCACAGCATATCATATTCAAATCAGCTTTAACCGGCCATGTTTAGCAAGGCACGGAACCGGAAACGGAATAGACTCGCTAGAAAATACTACAGAAATAGTACGATGGCTCAAGGAAATTACCACCAAAGCAATGTGAAACGATGTCACAAATGTCTGGGCCATTTGTAAAAAACCTTAGATGACATGTTCTCGGATGTAGGGGTGGTTTACATGACGACCGCAGATGCGTTTAATTTCCTTTGTTCGACCCATTGCGATGTTTTAGTCACAGTCGGAATGATAGCAAACATGGTGGCAAATTCATAAAATTGGTTGCATT